AGTCAAACACACCTCTTTACTCTCGCGTGTCACGTGACCGAGTGTAATCGCAGCCTCTGCGATTGAAAAATCTCGTTTTTTCATATCGCGATATTATCGTAAATGCAATTAATCGTTCAGCCCTACTATAAAGAGACTTTCAAATTGAGTTTGGCAAACACAATAAAATTATTCAGTTGATTATATGATCAAACGGGACTCACAGTTTAACAACTGGGACATCAGTTTTGCTGTTGTCTCAAGTTACATAAAGCGAGATGTTAATCTGTTTGTTTTTGTTAATTTGTTAATCTGATCATTTGTTTTGTGTCCTTAAAGGGATAGTTCACCCAAAACTGAAAATTTTATGTTTATCTACTTCTATACAAAAATAAAATCAAATGAGATGAAGCATCATCATATGTGAAGTATTTAATTCACTGGATTATCAAATAACATGCATTTCCACATGGTTATGTAAGCAATTTTTAACTGAATTTCCAGCCAAAATAATTATATAATGATTTATATAATTATAATCCGTGACTGTGATATAAAATTACTCACACCATGAATTATGATTTTGGTGAAACCACCCACTCTTCTGCCTGCCTAACCTCTCTTCCTTCAAAACAGTGTTTTTGTTAACTAAAACTATTCAAAAATGTTTTCTTTAATTGAAATTAAGATGGAATAAAATATAAATATTAGACTTAAAATATAAATATTAGACTTAAAAACAAGTTCAATTTGAAGTATTAAAAATATTAACTAAAATAAAAATGAAGCTAAATAGAACTATTAAAAAACTAATAAAAAATGACAAAACACTAACAAAATTGCAAAAACTGTCAAATTAAAATCAATTCAAACATGGTGAAAATATAAAAATAAGAATCCATTCAAAATTTTACTGAACACTATAATAGTATATAAATAATACCAATGTTATTTTAGTATCACCGAGATTCTATTAAAGATTTTATAATTTCCTTTTTCCTTTCATTTTTAAGTTAAATCTTCAATCACTTTGAATTTTGTGGTGTTTATGTGTTTAATTTTATGTGTGTTTGTATAGTTTTTATTCTTTATTTCAGTTTTGGTTCCAGTTATTTTAGTACATCAAGTTAAGCTGAATGAAAATAAGAAATGTTAAGTTTTTTATATTTCAGTTAATGTTTGTTTTATTTTAATTAATGAACATGCTTTTTTTAAGTTTCAGTTTTAACTTAAATTAACTATAGTAACCCTGGATAATCCTAAAATAACACTTCATAAACACTGTCAAACATTTAAAATCTTACATTTTTCAACTACAAGTTCTTCGTTCGCTTCAGTTCATGCAGTGGGTTTTCTAGCCAATTTCCAAAATGTTCAAGTAAGATATCAGCTATGTTTACATCCATCAAAAAGATTTTTTACAGCTTGGAAGTGTTTTGCAAAGGCAAAATGTCCTTGGACGAACGTTTCAGGTTTGGCGGTAATATAATATGCAGCCATCACAGGAAAATCAAAAACTCTTTCTCTACTGCCAACAGCTACTGATAGTCCGGCCAGAACAGCGTGTCACTCTGAGAAAACACAGAGACTCCAGGAAACCTGGGAGACCCAAACACAGTCTTATTCGGCATCAGATTTTCTCTCACAGAACCTCTTGTTCTCTTGAATGATGCCTGACATTCTAAAGCCAACAGGGAAATGTGCCACAAGTCATTCTGCTGGTGAACGTGTTGTAAAATTCATTACGCTTGTCAGGCAATGGCGTGCCGGCACAATCAGCCGCAGAACATTAACATGCAGTTTGTCCATAAATAAGTCATTTGTTAGGGACATTACAGCACCTGAAAGCTGTTTCATGATTTACAGGCCACTTCATTCACTTTCTACACGAGATGCATCATATTTATATTGAGTGATTGAGGCCACATTACAACCAAACAGAATGAATGTCTCCAACATTCATGTACTGAGCCTTTATTTATTGAAATGCAAACTGTAATATTTATTAATGACCTATAATGTGTATCTTTTTTTTTTATAAGAGGACATGGACAAGAACAAAATAAAATACTATGAAGTCTGACTAAATATTACAGTATATCACAGTATGATAAATTTTATGGTAGCGGTAATTTTTTGATGGAAATTCAATGGAAAAAAAGCTTATTATTGACTATAATAAAAAAATTATAACATGCATTTTATCACAATGTGATTTTAATTATATTCTTAAAGGTATATTAATATGTACATATACACACACATACTTCTACATGAATAAATAAATATGTTTATTTAGAAGTACTTAAAAAATACTAATATAGAATTTAAAGAAAAAAGAATAAAATTATTAAAACTAAAACGCAAACTAAAAATAAATGCTAATTCAAAATATTATTATTACAGTAGTATATAAATAATGCAAATATTACAACATAAATAATATATTACTATATAAATAATATTGAAATATAAATAATGCTAATTCAGTCAGGACCACTCTGTTGATTAAGACTATAGTTGAGGTCCTAAACATTATTATGGCGGCAGGCTTTGCTCTGAAGAGTTCAGATTCTGAGCTGTCCACAAGCAAAACTCACTGAGGTTTGCAACCCACGAAGCCTAATGCAATTACCAGAATTTTTTTAATGTGCAACAGATATAAAATTCCATTCAGGAAAGTGATACAGGTCAGTAAATGAGACTGGACAAGATTAAGCAACAATTAGCTGATAGATGATTTCCGTGGACAAGACGCTAAGTGATCATGTGCCTGTACAAAGAGGAGTTGGGGATGGAGGAGGGTAAGTGCATGTCTGTGCAACAGACTAAGGCAACTGTGAGTACGGATGAACTTATAAATCTTATTTAATTGTAGTGGGAGGAGTTACAAACAGCTGAGCTGTCACGCTGTGGTCTGCCTGAACTACGTTTGAGCTTCATTCATCACTCAAACTAGATTATTAAAATAATTTTAATATTCTTTAATGGTATAAGCATGAGTTTGCAAGTGGTAGTTATGTAAAAGGCTTTAAATTAATATCACAAATGGCACCTGGTCAGCTCTTCTAACAGCTGCGTGTGATCAGGAGGGAAGAACTTCACCACGAAACGCAGGATGGTGTTCTTGGGTCCTGCAGACGGAGAAACGATGCTGTCAGATCGTCATGTTCACTAGATCGAATCAAATATCAGTAACACCAGGATACGTACGTCTGATTTGTTTTAGAATCGGCTTCAGCAGATCCAACCACACCTGAGAAGAGAGTGAAACGAAACAAAACAACAGAAACACTTTAAATCATATTTCTTTAATGCAGCATATATACACAATATACAGTTTTATTAGTTACATTTACAATTGACATTTCTCTTAAAGTGTTTACTGAGCTTGTTGCAATGCATTCTGGGATTGTCTTATCCATGACACTTAGGGCCTGTTTACACCTGGTCATTACATGCGTTTTCGCTGATCGGATATCTATCTGATTTGTTAAAACGTTTCCATTTACACTTGGCCACATAAACGTGTCGTCGCAAAACGAATATAAATCCGATCTTCAATTCCCGCACTATATTTAAATTTAACTGAGTTCACGTCAACGAAATCAAAAGATAAGCGCTGCATTTTATTAATTATCAGCTCATTTCAAGATCAAAGACTGCAATAGAAGAGCGCGTGGCATCGGCACTGGAAAGATAGGTTAGTCACACTACTTTTAATGAAGATAATTGTGTGTTGACCGTCTGCTTCTTACTTTCAGTTTCATTCGCGGCAGTTTGCGCGTCGGCTTGCTGAAGAGATACTCAGCTACTCGTCCGCAGCAATGCGTGTTGCATTAGCGCAGTCTGACTAATGTCATATAGCCTATAACACTCTCTCACACGTTTATTATTTTAACATTTTGGGAGGAGTAAAATTTGCATATGTGGTTTCAACAACCAGATGCATTTACACTTGTCCAGTTTCGTCTGGAATGCGTCCCAGACCACCTCCTGAAGTGGTTTGAGCGATCGGATTTATATCCGTCTCGAATGCGTTTCGGAGGGCATTTACACCTGGTCTTTTCACGATCGGATAGCTATCCGATCAGAAAAAATGCATGAAGTGACCAGGTGTAAACAGGCCCATAAATGCCTTAGATTTTGGTCGAAACGAGTAAATATTATACAACAGCATAATTTTGCTGCCAGCTGTTTGGAACATCCTACACATCTGTGTGTTTACAGGCTAATAACTTAATAATTTAATTTGTTTGCATAGATTATTTGAACCTTTACAAAACAGCCACTCATGGATTATTATTATTATTACTGACAACAACAACAACAGTAATAATAATAATAAAGCCTAAAAGACTACATTTCTGCAACACATCTCACTCAGCCATGAATGGTTATATAAAAAGTTCAACTGCTTACACAATGTATACTATTATTATTATTATAGTGAGCTATAGTGATCTTTTAAAGTAAGGTTTAAAACGGAGCCACAGTGTCTGTATTTCTAATGGGAACAAATAACGTTAGCACCTGAATACTCTCTCTAAAATTAGCGTATCTTCCACACTGACATCAGAATTAAAAATGAAGTGTTGCTCACGGTCATTTTACGCTGGTCCTGATACTCCAAACTGAAGTAATCACCCTCGATGAGGTTCAGGTGGGCACAAACCAGGTCAAACAGCACCTTCCCTGAAGCACGTTGCTGTAGAAACAGAAAATCACACATGAAGCTTGTTAGACATGAAACACATACAGTAACTCATCTGATGGTACAGGCACCTGCATAAACAGGCATTTCTTTTAATGTTGAGGAATCATGTTTAAAGAAAGTCCCAATGAATATCTTGTTTCACTTGTAAAACAGGTTGCAAATGTCATTTCAATCTGACTTCAACATCAGGTTTCTCAGTTTCTATGTACGCTGCAGCAGGATCAAAGACTTCAGTGAATTGTGTCGGCAAACACCAAAGACAACAGCAACCAGAGAGTTTGTCATTCAAGCAAATCCACTGGCACACAGTCTCCTAATTGGCCATCAATTTTAACAAGATGCTTGTTGCTGTGACCCATGACCTCACTGTTAAAACCAGGCCAGACAACACAAACACTGCCATGTGCAGCAAAGCTGACTTTACAGTCCTCTCAGGCATGAAAACTCATGACACACTGTAGTGCTGGGCGGTATACCGGTTCATACCGAATACCGGTGTTTATTTTTCTTATGATATGAATTTTTAAAATACCGCAATACCGGTGTCATTTAAATAAAGTTCGGAACGTGTTTGAGGGGGGGGTCTCTTTTCACTGTTGCACTGTGGCGAGGACACAGCTGTATGTGTTACTAAGCGTGAAAGTTCCGAAACTGAAGCTATTATTATTATTTTTTTTGTTACTCAGACGCAGGCAGTGCGCTGCATGAGACAAAAAAGTAATATAGCCAAAACCACCGCATAGCCGCTCAACATGCATCTACTGTACATGTATGTTGATTTTATCAGACGATGTCGCGATTATAAATGAGAGCGACTCCTAGTTAACATGTACAAATGGGTCGTGTTTCGTCACTATTTCGAGTGGAATTTTTCTACAATATTCACTCATCATGACAGTAAAATAGGGCATTCTAAGTCAATCTACTGCAGTAGCCTATTTCCTCTCTCAATCAGTAGAAAATGTGGTTTACACTGGTCATTCATGGAAAAAATAAAAAATGAATACGTCATATACCGTGAAACCGGAATAATTTTGAAAAACACCGTGATATTTATTTTTGGTCATACCGCCCACCACTAACACACTCCACACGTCCAGTTTTCCGCTTTGCATTTGCAAAACATTAATTTGCAAAAGGATCCTAATGGGATTTTCTTTAATATAGGATTCACAGGGGGTAAACTAGGGAAGTGTTAATACTCAAAGTATTAATACAACAAAAACATCCACATCAAAATAAATTTACAAAAGTGATTTTATGTCCATAGAAAGTACATTAAATGTAAGTAAAGTGTCTACTTTTAAGGTTTCAAATAAGTTTTCGGAGAAAAAAATGTCAAAATTTGGTTGAAATAATGTTACATTGTCATTCAGTGTAACACAATTATGTAAAAATTCAACATGCTTATTCTGACGTGTACATATTAAAATACATAAAAGAATAAGGGAGCATATTAAATTTTATTGTGTTTTAATTTAGTAAAAAAATTCTTACTGACAAATGGGCAAAACCTAGGATAGTGGCAAATTATAAAAATGTAAAATTACAACTAATTAGTATTTGGGGTGAAGGTAATTAGTCTTTTAATATGTCATAAATTGATTTTTGTTGTAAATATGCCTGACAAGATTGTTACACTGAATGACATATTAGTGAGTCTCTTCTGTAAATCAGGGGAAAATGTATGATATTTATTTTTTGCTCAGAAAAACAAAATTGCAATTAAATTAAACTGAAAACTTTTAAATTTTTGTATATATATTTTTTTATATACTGTATGTATATGTATAAAATACATATACATATATACACACACACACACACACACATAAAATAGTGATACAAAAATATTTTTTTGCATAATTTGTTGCCAATATTTCAAGAATAAATAAATAAATAAATAAATAAAACAAAATAAAATAAAATTAAAAAAGCCTTGTGCAATTTAAATGAAAATAAACTCAGTTTTTTTATTTGAGTGTTAATTGTTAAATAAATGTTATCAATGAAGTGATGGTTAAATAACTTTATTTTTGGTTTCCGTTTTTTAGCAATGAAAACTGTAATTTCAGTTGCTAAGTTTCAGTAAAAAATTAATTTCAGTGCATCGCTATAAAAAATAAAAAAAAACTGCACTTTTTCATATTTGAAATCAATTGCACAGTGTAGACGTTTCCTTCATTTAGCAGAACACGTGAATAATTTCAGATATGCAGAAATGCTGTAGATCTGATTCTTCAACAACGAGCACAATGCAGGAAGCGGTAAACAACACCGAACCTGAGAAAACACACCACAGTTCTTTAATACTTACAGTGGGTACGGAAAGTATTCAGACCCCCTTAAATTTTTCACTCTTTGTTATATTGCAGCCATTTGCTAAAATCATTTAAGTTAATTTTTTTTCCTCATTAATGTACACACAGCACCCCATATTGACAGAAAAACACAGAATTGTTGACATTTTTGCTGATTTATTAAAAAAGAAAAACTGAAATATCACATGGTCCTAAGTATTCAGACCCTTTGCTGTGACACTCATATAGGGGGTCTGAATACTTTCCGTACCCACTGTATATAGATTTCATCATCTCATGCTCCTGCCAACCAAAACAGTTCGGGTCTGCCAGCTCACGTCCAGTAAAACACACTTTAAATATACATGGAGGGCGAGCCGAGGTTAATGCAAGCGGCGCTCCAGATTTTGGGAGGTAGGCATTCTTTTAATATATGGAGAAGTTCCATTAAGGAAGATAAATGAGTCGATATATCTGCGTTCTTCAAGCAGAGCGGAGCTGTGTGCGTGTTTACAGCAACGCCAGGCTTACCACTCCCCGTGAATAATAGTCTCTCAGGACGACATGAAAGGGTGTTTAGACGTGATATTTAGTGCATGGTTATGCTGCAGGTTGCATGAGTGATAACAGATGATCACAGTGGTCAAAAACAGAACAGATCATATCAGAATGATCGTATTAGTGAGACTGGCACACATGAAAACCACTACAAATATCAATTAAAGAATCAAATGGTGGAAGCCAATTATTATTGCTCATAATCACCATTTAATTGTGAATATTCCGTTTTTACACATAATATGTATTATTACTTATCTAGATATATGTATTACATATTTAGATATTTTAAGCGGTCAAAACTACATTTCCGGTGGCAGCCCTTGAATTTGGATCTAATTTAATATATTTAAGTTGAGCATCTGCTATTGACTTCTGTTGCACATTCGCAAAGACCAGCAAAATGAATTTTGAATTACCGACAAAATAAAGAATCTATTGCAGACAAAGTTAAGCTAAACAACCAGTGTTGTTATTGTTAACTGAAACAAATAAAATTCATTTTCATTAACTGAAATAAAGCTGAAGTGAAATAAAATATAAATATTTACTTAAGAAAATGAAAATTAGAAATGTTGCCTTGGCAACTAACTGAAATAAAATAAGTTGAAGCTGAAGTTCAAAAAGTAGGGTCATGAAAAATTTATAATAAAAACTGAAAATATAAAAACAGAAGCAACTTCAAAATATTTATAAATGTATAAATATAAATATATAACTGTGTATAAATAAAATAAGTTTAGGTTCAAAAAGTAAACTAAAACTGAAATAAAAAATAAACTAAACTTTAATTAAACTAAAACTGAAATAAAAAATAAATTAAAGCTAAACTGAGATAGGTTTAAAAATTAATAAAAATGACAAAAGCACAAAACAAAAATCACTGAAACAAATTAACATTAAGTGATTATTAATGAAGTCAATTATGAAAGCTAAATTAAATTAAAAATTACGAAAAAAGGTACTACACAATTTTAATAAATATCTGAATGTAAATATATCAAAAATATAATTGTATATAAATATTACTAAAATACCACAGTAAATGAATTGTGGTCAAGCGCTTAACTTTAATCTAAAGGAAAAAATGAGCTGCACCCGTGACCAGATAGTCAAACTGATAGTCAAAACGTTTGATCAAGCAAGATTACACTAGTGCTAAAAAGAGAGCATGAAGTACAAAATTTCCCAACAGATCCATTTTACTTTAAGAATGTCATGCCACATATAGACATCATAATCAAACACACAAGTAACAAATTCCCAAAAGGACATGAAGGCAGCATTAAAACAAGTTGCCATGAACGTTTGATGTCCAGGAACGTTTTGACAGCTGAACTTAATCTTTCACTTTCATGGCAATAAACCCATAAAAGGCTACACAGCAGTTTAAGTGGAACATAAAATAAAAATAGGATTCAATTAATGCAAGAGAGGTTTGCTGAGGATATTTTTCCTCAGCATCTTGTTTTGCTCTTCCTGCAGCAGCTGAGATCTACAAACCCACCAGCTACCAGCTGTTTCACACGGTACAAGCAGAAGGGCCCCGGAGCCTCCGGGGGACCGAGAGAACCGCCAAATCCAACACCCTCCACCTGCTGCAAACACCGACCGCTGGCAGCGACACCACGAGCTCACGCTCACCGCACCTGGAAACCGATGCGGGACGGGAACGGGTCACGCATCGGTCGATGGGTATCTGACCTCTAGCATAAACATCTGATGTCAAGCGAGCCCAGAGATCTCAGCTCATGATGTGTTTGCTTTGAAACACAAGCTCAGATGAGGACTGCCGCTGGGACAAAGACCAGAGCAGAAATACATCCACTTTAAACACAAACGCCTTTGTGCCAAACACAGAGAGCCAATGTGAAACTAAATGACTTTCTTAAAACACGTTTCTGGTCTAATTGTGAATGATTCTAATGTTATTCTAAAGAAAAATATTCTTTCTTTCTCTAAAATGACTTTTCCATTCTAAAATATTGAATAATATTAATAAATATCTCTTTGAGCATCATTTTACAAACTCACTTTAAGGTCTGCATTATATGGATTTGTGCTGTATATGATATTATGGCTGATAATCACTATATGTCAGATTTAAAGACTATAATATTTTTTTAATAAATT